AAAAATACAAATGCTTTCATGGAAGAGACTAGGGCTAATACCAGAAACATGAGTGCTTCAATCAGAAATCTGGAGAATCAAATTGGCCAGCTGGCCAAGCAAGTTGCTAATAGAACTCCAGGTAATTTCCTTAGTAACGCAATTATAAATCCCTAGTAACACAGTTATAAGTCCCAAGGCATCCGTCATTTTCCTTCCATCCGCATGACAATTTGGAGTTTATTTTACGAAGATACTGAAACACGAAGATTATGAATTAATATTATGGATAATACTTTTTTGGAAAAAATATTTATGCAAGTTACCACAGATAAGTTATCTGCAATTATTTCTAAAATGACGTCATTTTGGTATTGAAATCTTAAAAATTATAAATATAAAGACTATTATAACTTTAAAATAAATTAAAATTACAAAAACACCATGATTTTCACCCAAAACGACGTCGTATTGGGCTTACTGCAGATAACTTATCTGCAGTAACTGCAGAAAAAGTGAACCATACTTTTTTATGTTACATAAGAAAAGTATTATCTCCTACGCTCACATTTTTTAAATAGGTCCCACAATAAATTTGTTCTCTTACCTCAAACTCTTTTCTCTCTCTTATTTATTGTTTGAGCAGGAGATAATATTTTTCTTATGTAACATAAGAAAAATATTACCCTATTATTGTTAGGGGTGTGCAAAATAACAAAAAAACTGAACCGAATCATGAACTGAACCGAACCGCTCCTTAAAATAACCAGTTTTTAAAAACCAGTTCATGAACCGAACCAATTTTTAAAAAACCAGTTCAAGAACCGAACCGGTTTTTACAACCAGTTTAAGAACCGAACCAGTTTTTAGAACTAGTTTAAGAATCGAACCGTTTTGAACCGAACCGTTTTCAAACCGAACCAAATTGATTTTTATAACTTTATTTTTATTTTTATTTTATTTTTCAAAAGAGGGTCGACCCGAACCGGTTCCGAACCGAACCGTTTCCTACCGAACCGAACCATTTAAACCAATTCGGTTCGGTTTTTCAAAAAAACCGGTTCGGTTCGATCCATGCACATCCCTCATTATTATTATTTTTATTATCATGGAAAATTATTTATTTTTAAATGATATATTATTGTGTCATTTTAAGAGAGATAAAAATATAGCCTAGTGCTTTTTTATTTAAAATATAAATTTATAAAAAAATCACTCATTTTTTCTCCATAATTTTTATTATTTGTTTCTTTCTCTCACTTAAAATGACAAAACTTCATATTATTTAAAAGTACAAACACTATACCTTTATTATTATTATTATGATTATTGTTGAAAATGGGTTCTTTGATTGCTTTTCCGCAATGTTTTGTCTTTTTGCTTTAAATTATTCTCTTCGCCGGCTACGCATTCACTACTTGTTTACATTTTTCGTATTTCTGCTATGTTACGAAGTAGAATCTCTAATTTTGTTGGGCTATTTTTCTTCATGTATAATTATGTTTTCGTTTCCTATATTTTCATATTGTCTTTGTTCCATACTTCATTTTCAATTAAATATTTCAATTTATCATCTTTATTTAAAGGGTTTTATAAGAGTTGTGTTGTAGGAAAAGTGATTGTGTTATATTATAGAGATTCGTTTTGCGTGCCGGATTTTTTTTTTTGCTTAAAAAGTTGTGGGTCCCACAAAATATTGTTTGTGTAAGAAAGTTGTTGTGGTCATGTTAAATGATAGATGCAAATCCCTTATTTAAATAGTTTTCTTGGAGATGATTATTTTACTTAAACTATATTGTTACCAATGGAGGCTTTTTTATCACCGTAGCCTTTATTTAATAATTAATTACCGAATTGACCTTGATTAGAAACTATTTCAAAAAATTAACCCTACCAAAAAACATAACACCAATCTACTCTTATTTGACCGTTAACCATGCAGCGTACTCGGGTATCCCCTCCCTACTCGGGTAATTTTTGAAAATTTTATCCTACCCGAGTAAAGAGGAGAATACCTGGGTAAATTTCTTAAATCTGAGTTAATGCTTGAATTATTTACCCGGGTAAAGAGGCGGCTACCCGGGTAAATTTCGCGACAAGATGAGACAGAAACAAGACCGTCTTCAAACAGCTTCAAGGCTCAAGGCATGAACACAAACCGAGCAAAACGCAAGAAGGTCAAGCTTCAAGGCTTTCAAAGCCAGTGGATCAAACAAAGCTGGATAAAAGGTGGAGCAAGCTATTTATATTTTTATAAAAATATTTAGATTTTGAAAAAAAATTTGACTTTTCTTTTTTGTGACTTCTGTTTTTTTTAAAAGCAAACATCCAAACGAACTAAAAATGAAAAGTTCTTTTTTTCAAAAAAAAAAAAATCCATCCAAACGGACCTTTGTCTTCCAAACATTTTTACTGAAAATCAATTGATTAAAACCCAACAACCAATGAACAGAGAGCAAGCGAAACACCAAATAATGCTACAATTCTCTTGAAATCAACAAGAGCCTACGAGAAACCTCTCCCTCTTGACCATCAAAAGCATCAAAGAGATGCAAATACATGATCAAAAAATCATGGCAGAAGATGGGGTCATAGGAACGAATAATTCCAAAAAACTGCACCTTGAGCATGGATGGCTGCAATGGAACGGAGGCATGTTGAAAGGAACCATTGGAACAGAGGTGTTGAGAATGGAGACACTGAGTTTCCGATCCAAGATGTTGTGGATCACTGTGGTGAAGAGCAAGATCTAGCATTGCGAAGTGTGTGTTCGTTCTAGCAAAATTTACCCGGGTAGACCCTCCTTACCCGGGTTAATAATTCAAGCATTTACGAAATCTACCTGGGTATCTCCTTCTCTACCCGAGTAAGGTAAATTTTTAAAAAAATACCCGGGTAGAGAGGGGATACCCGGGTAGGCTGCATGGTCAACGGTCAAACAGGGGCAGATTGGTGTTATGTTTTTTGGTAGGGTTAATTTTTCGAAATAGTTTCTAATCAAAGACAATTCAGTAATTAATTATTAAATAAGGGCTACAGTGGTTAAAAAGCCGTTGAACATAAATTAAAAGGGTTTGATGAGTTATATCATTTTAGGAGAGAGATAGACACAAGGAATGAAAATCATGAGTGAGAAAGTGAGTGGTTTTTTTTAATTTAAATTTTAAAAGGAAGGTTATACTTACAACATATTTTCGTTTACAACCTCTTAAAACCATATCTTAACAGTTGATTTCCGTCAATTAACAGTTATCATTTATTATGAATTAATAATTAAATAATGAGTTTAATTTGAAAAAATAACAACCATTAATTGGCAGAAATCGTGTTAAGATATGATTGTAAACAAAAATAGGTTGTAAGTATAACTTTCCTCAAATTTTACATAAAAAATATTATTTTGTGTCTATTTTTCTCTTAAAATAACATAACTTTATGTCATTTTACAACCATATCCTCAAATTGAGGAAGGTTATACGTACAATTTTTTTTTTTTACAAACTCTTACAACCATATCTTAACACTGTTGATTTCCGCCAATCAAAGGTTATGATTTTTCTAAATTAAACTCATTAATTAATTATTAATTCACAATAAATGATAACCGTTGATTGACGAAAATCAATGGTGTTAAGATATGGTTGTAAGAAATTGTAAAATAAAAGTTATAAGTATAACCTTCCTCCATTTAAAATGATAAACACTTTTTCCAAATTAAAAATGGGAAATGTACTTATGCTGTTGAGCAAAACTTTACATCAACACATATATATATAAAAAGATACGTCGACGTATCCTAATTTTTTTTTTTTCAAAAGTGAGTCTCATTTTGTGTGTGGCTATTGTAACAGAAAAAGTGGTGCAGTGATAGACAAAAAAGGCACCCATTGAAAATTGTATAAAAAAAGGATTTTCGTTTTATCCTTTAACATAACACAACAAACTTTCCTACTCTCATAACATTTTGTGGAGCCCACACTTTTTAAAACAAAAAAATGAATAAAAAATTAAGGCACGCAAAACGAATCTCTATAACATTACACAATCACTTTTCCTACAACATAACTCTTACAAAACCGATAAAAAAATATTGTACATTTCCAACATAATACTTGCTTTTATATTTAATCAGATAATAGGTGCCATACAAAATTGATTCTTCTAATTGTATTAAATCGATACGGAGGTGTATTTGTAAAATAGATTAAAGTAGTTAACAACTAAGGCTAACCAAGAGATATTATTACAAATTAAAACTAATAAAGTACTAAGTAAGGCTAATTCTATGGCACATGTTACTGCATACAAAAGCTTTATACAATATGTATTTCCAAAAAAAAAAAAAAAAACTTTATACGATATCGGCAAATCGATGGGCATTACTTGCTTGTGAATTTGTATTTTTACTTTTAATTATATAATCAAATAATTATAAAATATGTTTAAAAAAATTATAATCATGCATAATCAAAATTTCAAAAATATTAAAAATAACTGTAGTCAATTGTTTCTATTATTAAATTATTAAATGAGTAATAAGATGTGTTTATTTAAATAATATTTAATAACAATAAATGTTTAAAAAATCAAACACCAAAATAGAGAAAAAGTAATATAGAATAAATTCACCTTAATTGTTTTGTGCGCACGCATGAGGTTAGGATTACGTTAGTTTGATAAATTTGTTTGTATTTTTTTTTATTATCGTCTTTGTATACATATAAAAGTTCATAGACAAAAGAATAAAATAATTGTGTATCCAATAATAAAGGAATTTATTAACTTTTATTACATGAAATAATTATCTCATATAATAGATATAGGATAGTAATTTTTATTATTATTCTTTTAAATAATAATTTTTGATATTTTATTTTTGTTGTATAAAATAATTATCTTATACAAATAATTATTTCGTTGGTGAATTGTCGTTTGGTGATTGTCAAGTGAAACGACATCCCAGAGATCGTAAACTAGAGTCGTTTCCTTGATGCACTTTTTAAAGACGTGATATGGGATGGTTTCACAGGGTTGGGCAGTTTTGGGGACCAGTTAATGGATGAACCACCGCCGAACCGGAGCGAAGCGAAGCCGTTAGCGGCGGCGCCACCCTTTCATCAGAGTGACGCAGACGAGGATGACGAGAACGTGAAGCAGCTCGACGAGTGCTCTTCTCTCTATCTCTTGATGCAGGTTTGTTACTTTCCCTTCCTTAAACCCTAAACCCCTCAATTTTCGGATTCATCGAACTCGTCGATTTATAGATGAAATTTGTTTCCTTATTTTTCAGGATTGCGTTGTTCGAACAAACAGGAATTGGAAAGAATGCCAGACAGGTATCTATTTGTATTCTCTCTTTCTGTGTGTGTGTGTGTGTGTAAAATGTGTTCTCATTTTCTTAAATTTTTTTGTTTAATTTATAAAAAAAATTGCTGGAATTCATAGAATTTTTCACTTGGAATTCAAATAATTATAAAATTTCATTAAATTATTTTCTCCAGAAAGTTTACATGCCATGCTTATATTTAAATTAAGTATTGTTGTTGTGCACCAAAAAACAAAACAATTAACCATTGTAACTTCGTAAATTGTTGAACTTTTTGACAGAAGTGCAAGCTTTGAGAGAGTGTTTTGAAAAGAGAAAGAGAAAGAAAGACAAGTAAGAATTTTGCAGGGATGGGATTTTTAGTTGGCTGAGGTCATCTACTGTGCTTCCTAGTTATTCTTTATGGTAGCACAATGAGGTACAGACACTTCCACCCCCCCCAAAATGAATTTTTTGAAGCATAATTCATTTGAAAGTCATTGAGATTGAACTTGGGAAAATGGGACATTTATACAAAGATCTATAAATAAGCAATGCTTTCAAGTGGAAATACCAAAGATGCGTTGTGAGGGAAGAATAATCACCTCCCTTAAATTGTTTTTTCTTTTTAAAATAATTGGAATTGTGTATTGCTTGCTGTTTGATGATAGTATGTTGCATGAATAATACCTTTTCATGCACTCAACAATTTGGTATCCTAAGAGCTCTAGTTTAATATGTTTATTTCCAATATATTGATGAGGTTTTAGATGACATGGTCCTCGTCGGTTTTAAAATCACAAGAGAAAGATGGAATCTTCCTTTTAAAAAATAAAAAATAAATCGTTATGTTGGTCAAAAACCTCTGCATATCCTTTCTTTGTTATGAAGTAGTGAAATTAGCCTTTTACTTGCTAACAGAATGGTGAGTTTGTTACCGATAGCAGTAAAGGTAATAAGGAGACTTGGTAAAACACCCTTATTATCGCCATAATTTGAAGGATTTGGGAAATTGGGATCATAAATCCCATACAAAAATATAAATAAAAATTCATTTACAGAAAAATCTGAACTTATTCTGCAATATAATAGGTAAGGATTAGACTTATGAGGGTCATAGTTTATAGATGCTACGCTGATGCCTTAGAATTAGTCTTTTGGGCTGAAAAGCCCTCGTGGCAAACTGGCAATGCCCTAATTGCTTTCGACAATTGAATCATTTCATTAAGATCTTGTAGAAAAAATATAATTCATGATGGCTAAATTATAATTTTAAAAACATAGAGAAATGGCAGAAGCAGCATTAATACATTTCCCAAGATTCAAGGATATTGGCAGAACCATGTAATAAAAATTCAAACACAATAAGAGTTTTGGATTTAGGGGTAACCTTTGGCAGTTGCATAACATCCTATATAGACTTGTTGGGTGGCATCTTTGTGTCAGATGCTCGTGAATCCTTTCTGCCTCAGTTAGATTGCTATATTTCACACGTTTTTGTATCCACTACCGTGGACAGAAAAAAAAAAAAAAACACCATCAGTAATTAGTAGTGATAACATTTATACGAACCTTGGTAGAACTCTGCAAGATTAAATATTGAAAGATAATTTGGTTTATCATATGTGCAGGATTAAAACCTAATTGTAATGTTGATCATGACCACTTGATTCATTGATTGTATGGGCGTCATCTTTAAGATTAGTCTGTCTGTTTGAAATCCTGCAATATTAGTTTCCGACTTCTCACGGGTAGATATTTCTCCCAAATGAGAAATGATTTTTGCATTTTTGCACCATTTGTTACCTTATAAAAAAGGGAAAAATGTTTGTCAGTTTAAATGATATAAAGTTATTTCATTTTAAGAAAGAGATAGACACAATAATATATTTTTTATTTAAGATTTAAATTAACAAAAACCAGATATTTTCTCTCCCATTTTTATTTATTGTGTCTATCTCTCTTTTAAAATGACATAACTTATGTCATTTAAAATGACAAACACCAAACCGAATAAAAAATTCCTTTAAAGTGAGTTTGTTTTTACAATGAGTAAGAGTGTATTTATTTTTGAATTTTAATAAGTCAATATCATTATCTAAGTTGCACATACTTGTTTGGATAAAAATAAAAAATAAAAAGAGTATATGTTATGAAATGTGTTTTCCTTGTTTTATTACTCAAAATTAAAAAAGTTGTAAAACGATATAATAAAAGTGATGCTTAAAGAACTTTGATGTTCTGCAAATACAGGTTAATATTCGATAACCGAACTCAAGTTGTTTTTTTTTCTTGTTTTTCCCCTTACGTAGGTCATCTATTAGACTATAATACATTATAATAATAGGAAATGTCACTTTCCAGTGTACAATATGTGCTGCCACCATTGCTTTTCGTTATAAATTGTTTTTTTCCCCAATCAGACATGAAGAGAGACGAGTGTAAATATCAAACTTTCTCACGGAGGATATGTTAGATGAATAAGAAATTCTTCGTGTAGATTACATGTATTCAAGAATATCTGCGGACGAAGACAAACACCTTAAATATAATTCTCCCGTGGCAACATCATGGTATGGCGAAAGAAAGCTTGGAGCATGACCGATTGAGTTAAAGTCATCGAGAGTGGGGGTTACTATTGCCACGCAATCATATTGTCTGTATTATTAAGACTAATTCCAAGTGGTGGTATAACATCAAGATCTCCCATTATTCAGAAATACTATTTGCTCAAAAAAGTCAGTAGCAGACGTTCTCATTATCATCATCAAAGGCGCATATTTTAAAAAAGAGAACCTTCAACTACCCCTTGATAAAATGGCCTCTTAAGTTCGATAAACGCATGGAGGAGGGGGAAGCGACCTAAGGGTATGTTTAATTGTTTTTTGATTTTTTGTTTTAAAAATTATTTTGTAGAATAGTTATGAAAATAGATTTTTTTTATTTTTTAAGTTAAAAGTCAAAATATAAAACAAAAATAACTCAAATATTTTTTCTAAATTTAATTCTTAAAACAAGAAAAACAGTTACAATTTTAAAATTTCTTTTTACAAAATAAGACTTATTAAATAGGTTTTTTTCTTCTTCTGAAAATCAAAAAATTAATTTTAGAAACAATATTCAAACATGGCCTGAGTCTCAAAACTGAGAGATCAGAATTGTTATGGGTGCGGCCCAAGAGCCTAACGTCAGTTTGATTTATTAGAAAATATACGAGTATGGTAAAATAATTATAATTTTATTTGATTTTAATAGCAGTAGGGTTCTTTTCTTTTCTTTTCTTTTTTCTTAACAGCCCAAGAACCTTTACCTCATGTGGCTATTTTTATTTATTTATTAAGTAATGTTTGTGCATTGTAAGGCTGTATCTAGTAGGATTTAGCTCAGATTAGGTTAATTTTAGTGGGTTAAGGTTATTTTTAATGTTTTAGTTTATAAAAGTTAATAAAAGGGATTGAAGAGAAATGAAGAAACAAAATAAAAAATGGAAACATATAGGATAAAAAAATAAAATTTAATAGAATTTGATGAATAAAAATATTTTAAAAAATATAAAGTACCCGAAAATAAATTTAAAATAAGAGAATTACATTGTGGGTTGATTTGAATAAAGCTCGAGTTTTCTTTATCACTTTTCAGTTGTCTCTGTATGCTAATTATAATGTTATTTTATTATTAATCCTTGTCGAGAAATTTACCCTCAACATTTCACTTTTCTTTAATTTGTTAAAATTAACCAATTCATAATTTTTTTTTTTAAAAAAATAACATGACTATGAGTTTCACATTACATTTAAAAAGTCGTGTCAGATTTCTCTAAAATCAAATTGATACAAATAGGTAAATAGTATCATGTTAGATAAGTAAGGGAAATTAGAGAGTTTATTATTTTGTTATTCCTATACTTCTTGAAAGGAAAATGTGTTTGGTTTTTGTATCAATTTAAATCGGCTATTCTGTACCAATTTAATCTTCCCAATTTAATTTCCTAAATTGTGTTTGGTTTTTTACTTTTATTTTAATTTAGAGATAAAACAATTTTTTTTAACTTCAATCTCATTTTTATCGATTTAAAAAAAATAAAGATTTCTAATTTTTCATAATTTAAATGTTGACCTATATTTTATTTTTAAACAAATTTGATTGTCCCTCCAGATGGTCCATAATTAGATAAAAATAAAAATAAAAATTTCTTTCGACTAATGCAATTTATTCGTAATGATTTCACAGGTGCAACTTACCCCATAATCTATTTCTTCATAGTACCATTAAAATTTGTAACAAAAATTAGTCATGGCATCATGCAGAAAAAAAATAAACTAACCATGTTTATGGCACACGCAGACAGACCAAATCTTTCCTCCACCAAACAGAAAGCCATATAGAAGACGGAAAAAAAAAAGTGAACGGATTTTACTAGTATCAAGTACAATCAGTGCTTGGTCATGCAAGCTTATAGCAGGAGTTGTCTTTATTAGAACCCCAAATAAATAAGGCTACAAACAAAACAAGTATTTCATTATGACACCTCCAATGAAGCAATGTTTCACAGTGAAGTAGAAGCATTTCCTGGTATAAATTTGACAGAAACACTATTGACACAATGGCGTTCATCAGTGGGTGTCTTGAATCCCTCTCCTTTGAAAACATGACCCAAGTGCCCGCCACAGGCTGCACAAGTTATCTCAGTTCTCCTCCCATCTGGGTCCGACTGAAAATGGGAACTTCCAAAATTACAATTCAATTCCAACCAATAATATTAACAAGGAAAAATGAACATTCAAGAATAAGTTAAAAACACTCACTGTGCGATTGATAGCACCAGGAAAACCCTCATAGAAAGCAGGCCAACCACAACCAGAATCAAACTTGGTAGCAGACTTGTAAAGAGGAGCACCGCAGCCACCGCAATTGTAAATTCCTTCTTCAAAGAACTTGTTATATTCTCCTGTACCCCTCATTCTGCACATGTTCCCAGTTAAGCACAATTTACAATCAGTCCCGATTGCGACTCAATCCAACTCAGGTAAAATGTAGAATTTGTGTGATATTCAAGAGTGATGAAGTCTCACATTAATTGATAAATAGGTTAAGTAAAGTTCACATATAAGTGGTGGGAGGATCAATGAACCCAATGTCACCCACCATGAGCTCCCGCGCAATGCCTTAAGTTTTGGGTTGAGAATTGAGATGTGCAGAGGTGTAAAAAGGATGGGCTAGGCTAGACTAGGCTATGCCTTAAAGAAGCCAGATCTGTGTAAAATACTTTAGGCCTAGTCACGTTTGTTAGACTTGTATAAAATCAGATTATAAGTCATTATAAGTCTGGTAAGCCTTAGGTCTATTAGTCTGTTTAAACCTATTAGGCTAATTAAAAAAAAAAATTAAAATAGTATTACTTTATTATTCAAAATTATTAAAATAATAATTTATTTATTTTATTTAAAATAAATAATATGTTATAGGCCGGCATGTAGGCTTATAGGCCCGACATGTCATGTAAAAGAAAGTTCATGGCCTGCTCTGCTTTCTAAATAGACTTTTTTTTTAAGGTCAAGGCATGTTCTATTTGACTATATGTAATAAAACAAGTTTGGCCTGTTGTAGGCCGAGTTGTAGGTCCCTGTTACACCCCTATGGTGTCAGACCCACTAGCTTATTGGTTTTGGTCACACCTACTATAGGCTCCCCCTAACACCCGACTCTATGTCCAACAACATGTATCAACCCAAAACCTTAAGACATTGAGCTCTCACTTTTATGAACTTCATTTAGCTTATTACCAACTAATATGGGACTTCACTTAGGGCTTGTTTGGTGTGATGTATAAGGCCTGATAGTATAAGCTTATACTATACGTTATGACATTTTTAGTTGTTTGGTGTGACGACCGTATAGTATAAGCTTAATCAAGCATAAGAGAGTAGGATTAGGCCTGATAAGGGGTTGATGTATTAATGTTGCTTAAAAGTACAATTCCCAAGAACTAATATATCATCTCAATATGAATATATTAAAATAATTTTTTTTAATATATTAATTTTTAAAATATTAGAGGATATTATTTTATACAATATCATACCAAACGCAGGATAGTATTAAAATTTAATCAGGTCTTGTACAATCAGGTCTTATACTATCAGGTCTTATACTATCAGGCCTTATCCTATACTATGCACCAAACATGCCCTTAAGCTAGACCAACCATATCAAGTGGGTTCGACACCACATCTCAACCCATAACCTTAAGGCATTGTGCTAGGGGGACCACCTCATCAATGAGCTAAGCTAACCCAACCGTAACAAATGGTACAACATCATATATCAACCCAAAATCAGTCTTAAGACATTGTGTTCATAGTCACCCGTTTATATGGACTTCACATAACTCGTTACCAAAATGTGAGACTTGAATATCCCAAAGGTTACCAATATCAAGGCTTAGAAGAGGGGTCTATCTATTCTATCAAGGGCATCCATCGCAAGTGTCTATGCTTATAAAAATGGACACTACGCAAGCTGCCTCCGACGTCTATGAATCAAAACATATATAAAAGGAAATGTAAATGGGACTTCATTTTCCAATGAAAAACAACTAATGATAGAAGAAATGGCTCTAAAACGCTGCACATAGCAAAACGAATCTACAGGAGCAATCACACTCGCTTACCCCTAAAAGATGATGCATGTTTAAGTAGATTTTCAAAAAAGTATCCACCTTTACACTTTGCACTTCTTCATCTTCCTTTTTAATGAACACCCTTTGAGTTACCTTCAATTTCTACCCTAAAAAATAAATTGCACTTCCATGCATACGCAATAGCCAAAATCCCACCCCCTTCTTCTGACAAAAAAATAGAGAAGAAAAGAAGAGAAAAAAAATTACAAGTTCTAAATTCCAATTCACAATATAATGAATCATATGACAGTGCACAAGAAGCGAAGATATGGAAAAAAAAAGTGTAGAAGAAATGATTGAGAATTTACTCAGTTCCTTTCTGGCGAATGATCCGAAATTGCTCAGGGGAGAGAACGGCCCTCCATTCCTCCTCTGTTTTCTGAACCGGAGTTGTTGCTGCCATTGACTTTCTGCTCACTGCGTACGGCAATTTGGATTGAGATTAATACAATAACAACATTTTCTGGGAAAATGAACTTGGATGGAAAATTGGATCTGGGTGATATTCGAGAAGTTGGGCCACGTGGCACGTAATGGACTTGCTTTCTCATGCATTGTGTCAACGCACAGGACACCGTTACTTTTCTGCGGACAAAAGTATAAATAATAAAAAAAATTGAGAAGAATATTTTATCATTTTAAACGATAGTTATTTTAATTAAAATTATGTTTTATTTAATATTTAAATTAAAAAATCTTTCATTTACTCTTATTATAATCTTTATGGTGTAATTCTTTAATTTTGATTAAAAAAACACAATTCCATACCTTTTAAAATAACAAACACAAATATCAGAAAAGTTAAGTAATAATAACCTATTGTTTTTTTTCCGGATCAGCCCGACAAAACAAACAATCCCCAAATTGGCCAGTAATTGGGCATTATTAAAATAGTCGAAAAGAGATAAAGGCTTGTTTGAAATCTGTTTTGAAAACAGTTTTATGATTTTCGAAATAAAAAAATAAAAAATCTATTTGGTAAAGTTTGTTTTGTTAAAAAAAATTGTAATTTTTTTTTTGGTTTGATATTTATCATTTTAAATAATGTAAGTTATGTCATTTTAGAAGAGAGATAGACACAAGAAATAAAAATCATGTAGGAAAAACGAGTGGTTTTTTTTAATTTAAATTTTAAATAAATATATTATTTTGTTTATATCTCTTTCTTAAAATGATATAACTTTATATCATTTAAAATGACAAACACTTTTTCCTTTTTTTTTTATTTTTAGAATCAAATTTAAAAAACATGTTGGGATTTTATTTGTTTTTTATTTTGGTTTTTAACATTCAAAATAAAAAATACATGTTTTCATAACTATTCTACAAAATAATCTTAAGAGAAAAAAATAGAACACAATAAAAAAATCCATTTTTTTATTTTTAAAATTAAATTTAGACCTATTGATTGTATTATGATTTTTTTTTGTTTATAAAACTGTTTTATAAAAAAATTACGGAAATATGTGTTTTCTATATTTTTTATTTTTTAGTTAAAAAATCAAATCAAAAACAAAAACAACCCAAAAAATTTGAAACCTTACCAAACTGGGTTTTTTTTTTTTTGAAAATCAAAATATTATTTTTCAAACAAACCTTATGGATTGTTTTTATTTTCTGTTTTGTTTTTAACTTTCAAACTAAAAATAAAAAAAAAATTTAAAGTTTCTAAAGTTATTTTAGTTAACTTTATCTAATTTTTATCAAAACACACACAAAAAATGTGGGGAGTTAATATGGACCCATGTGAGAAGAAAAGAGAAAAAAATGGGCCTCATACATTTTTATGAGTATATTTTAGGAAATATTAGATAAAATTATATAAAATAACTTTAAAAACTTTAAATTCAATTATTATATAAAATAGTTTTAAGAACAAAAATAAATAAATCAAAACACAATCAACTTGATCAAATCAACTTATTTTTTGTTTTTATTTTGGTTCTAAAATTTCCCTCCGGTAACACTATTGAATCGTGAGTGTTTTTAACAAATCCATTGAAAAATCATTTATACTTTTATGTTCTTTGGACTTTTGATCTTTATAACCATTTATTAATAATTAATTATCAATTTGACTTTCATTATAAACTATTTCAAAAATTTGACCTCCTAAAAAAATATAACACCAATCTGTCATGTTTGACTGTTGACCACCAAGACTACCCGAGTACACCCCTCCTTACTCGTATTTTTTGAAAAATTTTATCTACCCGGATAGGGATGGGTGTACCCGAGTATTTTTCTTCGCACATAGGAATTTGCTTAAATTATTTACGTGGGTTGGAAAGGGTGTACCCTGGTAAATCTCGACTAGAAACCCCAATATCAATGGGTTTCAGCCATTGTTGTGCGAGATTTAGGTTTTTTGCCCCTTAAATCTCTCTCCCTTGACCTCTCTATTCCGAAACATCACACACATATTTCATCTCATCATTTCAGAAAGTTTAATCTTGGTAGAACATTGAGATTACACTTCCACACTCCCATTTTGTGCTAAAAAATCCGAACCAACCTCAAAACCCAAAACCAAGATCTAATTTTCGTCCGATTTGAAGGAAAAACAAAAACAATGAAAATCAAACTGAGCACTACATGCAATGAATTGAAGGAGAGAATTCTCCAAAAAAAATGGGGTTAGAAGGCATACAATTCACCCACCGCGTGATAGCCAGGTTAGAGACTGTAGTGGATATGGATATAATATACTACATTGGTAACGATATCAGTGATGATGAAGATGTGGGGTTCGTAACAGATGCGTTTGTTGGATTGAAAGTATTAAAATATATTGAGATATATGTTGAAGTTGATGCTGGTCAGTCTTTATCTTTATCGGTGCATACAACCACTACTGCAAATAATTCAAGCAAATTCTTAGGTGAGAAGAACAATACCCAGGTACACTTATCCATATCTGGGTAGACAAAAATTTTCAAAAAATACTCAAGTAATCTTGATGGTCAACGGTCAAACAGGAGCCGAGGCAGTTAGTGTTATATTTTTTTTGAGAGAGTGAAAATTTTAAAATAATTTATAAGAAAGATCAAATTGATAATTAATTATTAATAAAGGGTTCAGAAGCGCTCTTTTGTTGCCTTGTTCCCCTTACTCCTTTTTTTTCTTTCAAGCGACTCTCTCTCTCTCTCTCTGTTGTTGAGGGTGGGTTTCGTTGTTGTCTGTGATTCAAACCCAAAGTGAAGAAAGTGGGATTCGAAGGAACAGCTTCAGTGCGTCCAAGAAATCACTGCTACATCCCCCCACAACCCACTGTTCAAATAAATGCCATAAAAGAAGAAGAAGAAGAAGATAAACAATGTCGACGTATACGGGATTTGGGTTGGGTTCAGGACCCACCAAACCTTCCGACCCCACCGTTTTCTCTTTCGGCCTCAACAACCCTTCTTCTCTCCCAAACCCACCTACTCCTCCGCCACCTCCCAGACCCAGGTATGTCGAATCTTTAAGATATTTTCTTCTCATCCCTCAATCTTTTCAAATAACTCACTAAAAAAAAAGAGTTTTTTTCTTTTCTTTTCTTAAGGTTGAAATGGAATAGGGAATCTGAATCAATAAGCATGTTGCACTTTTCCTTATGTGTCTTCCTTTGATGATGCATGAGCTCCCTCTAGATTGCACTTTTTTTTTTTTTTTTTTTTTTTACTAAATTCCTATGATAACGTTTGACCCATGTAGCCACTCCATACTAATGGGGTAAGGCTTTGTTATCTCAAAATTCTACATCATATTTGCCTTAGATCAAGCTATTTTTGTTATACAGGGAAGTTTTAGCTACCAGCACTTTAGATAGCCATGCCAGTCTATCAGTCAATCATGCAAACTTTTCGGCCCATCAACTCCAGTCCTCAGTCTCTCCATATATTGTTTCTCAGAATTCTCAGCATAGTTTTGCAAAAGATCTTGACAGTCAAGGCTCAAAGAGAACTAGGTCCCCTCCATCATCTGCCGACAGACAGGAGAATTTTAATGTTGCTCATAAAGACTTTAGAAGGTATTTTTTCCCACCTCTCTTTGTTAGTGTAGTTGTTGTTTTGTTATTTTCCTTTGGGGAAGGTTGTGTCTGTCAAAATTGGATGTCTCTTGGTTTATATAGTGTTATGGCTTGGATTCCACCGGGCTGAATTAAATCTTAAAGAAGACTGACCTATCTGTAGTTTTTCTACGAAACAATTAACTAAGTATGAACTTCCAATTCCAAAAATATGAAATATAAATTTACCTGCAAATGAAATAATTGTAAAAAGATTTAATAAGTTTTTTGTTACATTTTGGATTACTTTCTGTTTGTAGAGATCTTAATCTCTGTAGTAATTTTTTGCCAAAATAGTGCTTTGCGCTATATGAGAAAGTAGGAAAGAGGTTATATGATTTTGAAGAAGTCTAATCAAATGTGACCAACATCTTGATTTGAAATGCTTTATCAATTCATATGTGTATCAAATGATCCCTAAGGGCTAAGGCTATGTTCGGATGTTTTGGTTGTAATGGAATTGAATGGTTTTGTAATGGAACAGAGTGGAATGTGAAGGGAAGGAATGGAATGGTATTGTTTTTCTACTGTTTGGAAGTTTAGAGTATTAATGTAGAAAAGAATGGAATGAAATGGAAAAAGTTACAAATTTGAAATTGTAATATCGTGTTCATATATAGGAAAAGCAGTAAAGTCACCTTTATTTATAAACAAAATAATGTGACAAACATTGGCAACTTTATGGGTACGAGGGGAAATGCATCTCTCTCCTCCTAAATCTATCTTTTAAATGGCGGGATAACTTTACATCCATTCTATTCCTTTGTTTTCCACAAATCTCGATACACAATGAATACCGAGAGCAAGTGAGAGAGAGAGAGAGAACTCTCATTATAGATAGGAACATTGTGGTTAAGTTACAAAATAAAATTAGATTTATCCTAACTTTTCAGTGGGCATAAGGGAGATTTGCAATTTGTTTTTCTCTACATACGAAAATGATGGTTTATGTTTGCAATAATTAATATAGTCTAGCAGACAGCTATCATTAACTATCAATGTTTGTTGAACTTAGTGTTGGTGTTTTGAAAAATATGAATTAAGCTTGTTGGTGTGAGTGCGTGTTCTGCTATTATAGCAATTTCATCTCATTTATAAATAATGAAACAGAATATGCTTTTTTTGAACCTGTTTTGCGGATCTTCTTCCAGGCCTTCTATATCTCCTCCTAGACTGGGAGTTACATCAAATGTTATGAGGACTGGACCTCTTTCTCAATTTCACCAATTGCCATCTAGTGTTTCTGAAGCCACTCTAAGCAGGCCCATCAGCTCCACTGCTCCTAAAAGAACAAGGTCGCCTCCTCCGTTATTTTCAGCCAATGAAATCCTTGAAGGAAACTCTATTTCTTCGGAAGACAACTCTGAACGGTAAGATATTAGGTGCAGTGGCACCATTTTTTGTTCATTATGCATGTATTTTATCTGAAATTTAATTTGTCTAAAGGACCTTTATTCTTATTGTGTTATTCAGCGAAATGTTAGCCAAGGCAAAGCGTTTAGCTCGCTTCAAGGTAGAACTAAGCAAATCTGAACAAAATAATGCTGATGTTGCAGACCAAAAGGCTTCTGCAAATAGACATGAACAGTCTGTGTTGGAGCAGAAATATGTGGGGGGGCATTTAATGGATACAGCTGGAAACTTTACCAGTGGCCATGCTGTTTCTGATAAGGAAGGCTTGGAAGGATCCAATGTAATTATTGGTTTATGCCCAGATATGTGTCCTGGTATATTACTCAAATTTTAAATATAAGAGTAAACATGTGAGAATTGTTATATTTCCGTATGATCTTCCAAACCTGCAATGAAATTTTTTCAAGAAGTGTTAGGAATTCCTTTTTGTTTTTTGGGTGGAAGAGTCTAGTTTGAGAGAAGTCAATGTTAATTGAAATATCTTTTTAACTATAATGTTACACAGTCTGAAAATTTTAGCCAAAATTTTGTCGGAATTCACCTAGAGTCAAGAGTGTTTTTTGTATGGGATAAAGTGGTAGGGACCACTCATCTATCCAACTCATTCTAGTAAAAATTCTGGCTATCTAGCACTTTCCATCTTTTAATTTTTCTAGTATTTCCAAGATGGGAATTTTTCTACTTTATGGTATAAGCATGTGGTTTCATTTTCTTTTTGATTTTATTTGTGTTTCAGAGTCAGAAAGGGGAGAGCGTGAAAGGAAAGGGGATCTTGATCAATATGAACGCTTGGATGGGGACAGAAATGTAACCAGCAGACTTCTTGCAGTCAAGAAGGTGATTGTCAAATTACTAATACTATTGTTTTTCTTATGAAACAACTTATTACCTTTTCAAGTTTTATTAATAACATGAATCATGATTCACGACAGTATACTAGGACAGCAGAGAGGGAATCCAGCTTGATCCGGCCTATGCCCATCCTGCAGAAGACAATAGATTATCTGCTCAGTTTGCTAGATCAGCCTTATGATGAGAGGTTTCTTGGTGTATACAACTTCTCTTGGGACAGGATGAGAGCAATTCGCATGGACCTGAGAATGCAGCACATTTTCAATCAAGGGGCTATTACTATGCTGGAACAGATGGTGCTTCCTTGTGGCCATTTCATTGGTGTCTTTGTTTGCATACATGTCCATTAACCTTTGGTTATAGTCATCCTTTTTATGAATGAGCGTGCATGGTAAAGAGCTTGGGTTCAAAATCCATTGGTCACACATTTACTGCTTACCGATGGACATGTGTAACTCCCATTAGCAGCCTAAAATATAGAAATATACGACTCATACTTTGTGTATAATTAAATTTTAGCAACATGAAGATATCACTTAAGGACCGATGGGCCTGAAAAGTGAGTTAGTTAGTTTGTTAGGAAAATATTCTAGAATATTCTTAGAAGAGGGAATAAAAGGGGGGAATGTGTAGAGTGGAGGAAGGATGAATTCAGTTTTAGTTTAGGGGGGAAATTGTAAGGATCTCTTGAAGCCTGGGTATGTTGGCTTTGAGGGTGAGTTGGGGTCTTTTGGGTTTATATTTCTGCATTTAGTCTTTTTAAGGAGCTTGTCTGTATTTATGTTTTCATCAATTTACAGTAAATAAAATCAGGTTCCATCAAGGACCTTGCTTGGGTTGTAGTGATTGTCAATTATCTCTAGTTAATCTAAGTTATACTGGCTGAATTACTCTTGATTTGTTGCGCCAACTGGCCCTTAAATATTTTTGAACTTGGGAATGTGTTGGTTTTTTCTTTTTTAAATTTTCCTTTTGTTTTGTTATACCTTATGTTGTGACATTACTGCCACAAGTTGTTATTGGTGACACTGCAACATGTAGCACTTGTCAGATGTCTTGGCTTTCCAGTTTGTTTGGCTAATCCATATATAGTATCATTAAGATCATGTGCCAAAATAAGCATTCACTCTTTTCTTGTAATAATACAGATATAAAAGCCAGATTATTGCTTTTGCTTAAGTGATAACATCAATGTTTTTCTTATATTTCTTTAAAAGCTATGTGGGTTCAGACAGTCAATACCAAATATATAGTTTTGATGTTTTTCAGTTTCATATTTATTTATTGGTATAATAGTTTTTAGCAAGTTCTGTCAGCTTTATCAAAAACATGCATATTCTTTTTGCAAGCAGTATCTGATGATTATGAAGACTAATGAAGCTGTTGATTTCTGTGGTTTCAGATAAAACTACACATCATTGCAATGCATGAATTATGTGAAAACACTAAAGGAGAGGGATTTTCGGAGGGCTTTGATGCTCACCTCAATATTGAACAGATGAACAAAACTTCAGTTGAATTGTTCCAGATGTATGATGATCACAGAAAGAAAGGAATGAATGTTCACACGGAAAAAGAGTTTCGAGGCTATTATGCTCTTCTTAAATTGGATAAGCACCCTGGTTATAGAGTAAGTAGCCTTTGTCGTGCTTTGATCTTTATGGTTTCATTTGCTATAAAAAAACCTAAGGAGATAAGCAAGTTATTCTAGGTTGAACCTGCAGAGCTCTCCCTTGATCTTGCTAAGATGACTCCAGAGATACGGCAGACTCCAGAAGTTCTATTTGCCCGAAATGTAGCAAGGTTGTAATTCCCATATAAGTTAGTTAATTTTTCTGTTATCTTGTTTGCAGTCTGACCATTCCTTGTTTGCTTTTGCAGAGCTTGCAGAACAGGTAATTTTATTGCCTTCTTTCGGCTTGCAAGAAAAGCAACATATCTTCAAGCATGTCTAATGCATGCTCACTTTGCAAAGGTATAGGGTATTCTTGTCTATTATCTTGTGCTCAACAAGGACAATAGGATTGGACTTGTCCTTGCGAAGCTTAGGGCTGCCATCATCATGTATAGGCTGGGCATGCATTTACTCAATCATTGCAGGCCTTGTAGGAAATTTAGTTGATTAGAGACAAACTGCTGTAGTTTCTTATCTAAAATGGATGTTAGATATGCAGTCCACAATTGAGTACATGATATTATGATTTTTCTTGCTCAGTTTTGTATAAAATATCTGTCTCACAGTGCATAAATTTTAGAAGGATAACTAAATAAAATTAATTTGATTTTATGTGACCCCTTTGAATCTGCTATACATCACTGGAAAGGAATTTGTGGAATTCGCTTTAGTTATGGTTTTGGTAATTATGTGACTAAGCTACATCTGATCAGAAATCCTAACCTTTTTATCTTGTTTCACTTTTACCAGTTACGTACCCAGGCACTTGCTTCTCTACATTCTGCTCTACAGAATAACCAAGGTCTCCCTGTTACTCATGTTGCTAACTGGCTTGCTATGGAGGTATATTTCATGGATAGATGTGGAAGAGTGGTGTCTCCTTTTTCCTTTTTCTTGTGTGTGGATTTTTTTTATTTTTTTTTTAGGGGGGGTGGGTGTTGTGTCAGGATTTTCCAACTTCCGCTTACATTGACCTTTGTCATTATAATTAGGATGAGGATGTAGAAGACTTCTTGGAGTATCATGGTTTCTTGCTAAAAGTATTTGAAGAACAATACATGGTAAAAGAAGGCCCATTTCTCAATGTTGATATTGACTATCCCACAAAGTGTTCCAAACTTGTGCTCCAGAAAAGGTCTGAAAGGATAATTGACGATGTTTCACCCTCAATTCAAGCCAAATCACTACCTGTTGAGACTATGAAAGAGATTCAGATGAGGAAGTCATACAAACATGAAACACAAATAGTGTCAGCTGTTGAAAATGGTAGTTCTGTCAAGAATCTTGATGAGGAAATTCCAGACTCTGAAGCTATTTTCTCCCCAGAGGATAGTAAATCGGGAAAGACATTTAAGGAAATGCATGATGGTGTTCAAGACAGTGGAAAAGATCATGATATGTCTAGTACTCTTCCATCGCCATTGAGCTTCCCCTTTCCTAATATTATACCTGAACCACAACTTACTAGAATTAACATTTTGAAGAGTATCGATTCTGATTTGATTGTCAGAGGCTCTCCAAGGAGAAACTTCCACTCTAATGTGGATGGAAGGCCATTGGAGATTGTATCAAAAACAGATCCACCAGAAAGTTCATTAGCTAATAGTTTTTCTGAGCCATCTTTTGTGGCCCAGGGTGTATCCAAGGATGAGTCTCTGGTTCAAGAACATGAAGATGAAATCGATGGAGTTAAAGAAAATTGTCAAGATGAAGAAATTGCTGAGGCCAAACTGAAGTTGTTCTTAAGGTTTTCATACATTGTTTCATTACACAGTTTTAGAGTTTTAGCATATGAATTACTCCCATATATGTCCTATTTGTTAATATTTTTAAGTCATTATATTTTATAATCCACATCTTTCTTCCTTGTCTGCCCTGTCAGGTTATGGAGGAGGCGAGTGTCAAAATTAAGGATGTTACGGGAAGAGAGGCAATTAGCATCAAATGCTGCACTAGACTCGTTGACATTGGGGCCCCCAATTCGACATTATATAGATGTAAGTTTGGTAAGGTCTTGTGAATTTTTAGTAAATTGCTCTTGCCAGGGGAATGGCATTGGGGATGGGAGTGAATCAAATATGATTGCTTCCCAGGGCACTTCCTTTAAAATTAAATTTGGTTGTTGCGGCTGAACAAAAATAATGAATCCCTTTGTTGATTCATCATTTTAATTTCTAATTGGATATTTTAGCTGCTATTGACTTCCTGTTGACCATTTCTGAATTCCTACTAATCCTGAATATTGTTACTGAATGAGTGAGACGTACTATTTTCCATAATTAAATATTGACACTGTATGAAGTATGAACATAAATATCATTAAGCAATTCTAATTTGCTGTATTAGGAAGTTTTTGTGAATACCTAACCTTGACTTGATTTATTGATTTATTTGTTATTGACTTTGGTGGCTCCCTTTTTCAATGTAGCAACCTAGCAACTTGGACAAGCTTGACATTGATATAGCTATGAGGAAGAGATATGAAAAACAGGAAAAATCATGGGCAAGACTTAATGTTTCCGATATAGTTGCCGGTACATTAGGCCGACGAAATCCAGATGCTAAATGCTTGTGCTGGAAAATAATTTTATGTTCTCAGATGAACAGTGGACATGAAATGGGAGCAGCAGGCTTGTGGTTGACCTCAAAGTTGATGCCTTCTAGCGATGATGATGATGATGTGGTTATTTCACCTCCTGGCTTGGTAATATGGAGGAAATGGATTTCTAGTCAATCGGACATTTATCCTACCTGCTGCCTGTCTGTAGTTAGGGATACAGCATTTGGTAGTCTAGATGAGGCTGTATCCGGGGCAAGTGCAGTTTTGTTTCTTGTGTCTGAGAGCATTTCATGGAAACTTCAGAGAGTTCATCTTCATAATCTTCTGATGTCAATTCCCTCTGGGGCTTGCTTGCCTCTTCTGATCTTATGTGGCTCATGTGACAACGGTTTCTCTTCTGTTATAATTAATGAGCTGGGCCTTCAAGACATTGACAAATTTCGGGTTAGTAGCTTTCTGGTTGTTTTTCTTGGTGAAAACCAGCAGATGGAACACTTGGGTGGGTTTTTCAGTGATACACGATTAAGAGAGGGGCTGCAATGGTTGGCAGGTGAATCACCCTTGCAACCCAACCTTCACTGTGTGAAAATACGAGAACTTGTTCACACACATCTAAATTCCTTCTCAGGAGTGCATGACATCATCAGAAACTCCAATTTGGGTCCTAATGACTGTATCTCATTGTTCAATGAAGCCTTAGATTGCTCAGCGCAGGAAATTATTGCTGCTGCCAATTCAAATCCTGTTGGTTGGCCATGTCCAGAGATTGGTTTACTTGACAAGTCTTGTGATGAAGATATAGTAGTAGAAAGGTTCTTGCCAACTTTGGGATGGAGCTCAAATGTGAAAACTGAACCAATTATTTGTGCTTTGCAAAACTGTAAGCTCCCTACTTTTCCCTATGATTTATCATGGTTGGCCAGAGGTTCTGAAGTTGGACATGAGATTGAGAACCAGAAGATACAGCTTGAAAATTGCTTGATCCAGTACATGACTCATACTAGTAAGATAATGGGAGTTTCATTGGCAACAAAAGAGGCATGTGTCACAGTGCAAACCTGTGCTAGACTTGAGCTTTGTGGCTCAAGCTATCGTGTAGTTCCACATTGGGGCATGATCTTTCGTCGAATTTTCAACTGGCGATTAATGAGTTTATCTAGTAAAGAAATCTCCATGGCTTACATCTCAGAATGTCATCATGTTTCTCTTCCTAATATGGACTTGGATGCATGTTTATCTTCATCTTATTATCCCAACTCATCTTTAGATGAATTAATCAGTGTTAGCTGCAACTCTCCTCTTCCTGATAATGGTCAATCAAGGCCTGAAGCACTTCAACGTCTTCCACAGAGGGATTCAAATGATGTATTTCATGAGAATGTTAACCTGAAGGATGCTGAAAGCAATCTTCGACTTGATAAATATCCTAGCATAAATACAACATTCTCACATGCTTTAAACAATGCTAATAGTGGAGCATTAATGAATGGGAAACCAACCAAAGAAGCTGACAAGTTAAGCAATCTGTTGGAGCAATGTAACCTGCTGCAGAATGACATAGATAAGAAGCTGTCTATATACTTCTAATGTGAACACCACTTTTCTATGTTGTATTTTTGTATGTATATGTTAATTTATAGGGAATTGTACGATAAGTGAATTATAACAAGTGTTTTTGTTGTTATTTCGTTTCCCCTTGTCTCTGGGCTCACAAATATTGGGAAGGAGTTAATGGTCAATCAGCCAAGAGAAACATGACATGGACTTGAAACATGCATTTAATTTGATGTAGCAGTGACGGTAAAGATGATGATGACAATGACAGCGAGAAGTTCCTGAAATATGAAAAATGACATTGATTTCATCTATAAAAAAATTCATCAATTTAATCTCTAAAAAAAGTGACATCAAACACCCCTTTAATTATAGAAAGTTGGCATTAATCCTGTCTATTAGTAATAGGAAATAACATTAATTCAGTCTCTTAATCTCCCAACGAAAAAAGATTTTGATGTTATTTTATATGATAAAAAGACTAAATTAATACTATTTGCCTTTCAAGAATGAAAGCAGTGTTAACTCAACTTTTCAATAATTAAAATGAACGTATGCTCTTTATTTATTTTACTTATCCAATCTTGTGGCATCCTTTCCCTTCATGTATATTTATGTATAACTGAAAATATTATTAGGGTAATATCTTTATCTGATATCATTTACATATTTTTTTTTTATTACTATTATCCAATATTTGGTAAACTATGAATCAAACATTTTACTTATGCATATCAGATAACTTATTCTATAAATAGCACGTTAAAACAGTTCATAATGATACTTAAGAGAAAAATATATGAATATGAAAGATTTCATATTTAGCGTTACAATGAAAAGAGTTATTTCAAAGGATTTAATTAGAAAGAATGGACTCTCCATATAAAAAAAAGTGTATATGATCTCCCATGTTTATTAGTACATTAATTATCTTGTTGTGTTCTCAATATTATTTCCATGCTTCCCGAAAGGCGTGGAATGCCCATTACATGCCATATTTTGATACGCAAAATATGTATAAACTTATGAAACATATGGTATTGTAGAATACTCTGAATGCTGGAGTATGATCCACGCCTTGAGGAGTGGAACTTTGGATGCATCGGTGAGATTCATAGGTAAATAAAACAAATAGATGGAAGACATGACACGAGAAGGCAGTCTTATATTGCATATTTGCATTGCATTTAATGAATTTTTAAATTCTTTAAAAATAATAAGTTAATTTACTACATTTGAATTACGTATGAATTGTCCAAAAAAAGAATTAAACAAGGGTTAAAGGTCCCCCTATGCCATTACCCTCTTTTGCGATTGAATTGTTAGTAACACATGATACGAAAACAATCGTGCCCTTTTCTTCCATTCCACTATCTTTTATGTTTACATTAGTAACTCATATCGACTTAAATACTCAAGTCCTCAATATCTAATTTCATATCTATGTGCCTTATAATTGTATTTGTCTGTTGTTGGAGTGAAACGACAAGATTGTATAAAATTAAAATGTGTCATTTAAAAAACAACAATAACATTACTCAACAAGCTTCATACCAACAATCATAAATAATACAGCTCAAGAAATAAATCACGAAGAATAAAAATAAAACATTTTTTTATTAAGAAAAGTATTACCCTAATGTAGAAAAAGGAAACGATTTTATTTTTTTTATTGCATACGTGAAAATTTAGAGGGGAAGTTTTTTCCCATTTCAGCAAGAATTTATAGTAATATCACTTAGCGTTTAAAGTTTCTAAAATTATTTTAGATAATTTTATCTAATATTCATCAAAATACAAAAAAATATATATAAGACCATGTGAACCCAAAAAGAAAAAAGAAAACATGAACCCCATATACTTTTATGGGTTCACTTTTTCTGCAGTTACTGCAGATATGACGTCGTTTTAGAACAAAAATCATGATGTTTTTATAATTTTTAATTTATTTCATGATTATAATAGTCTTTTTATTTATAATTTTTTAAGATTTCAATACCAAAACGACGTTTTGAGAAAAAATGCAGATAACTTATCTGCACTAACTGCAGAAACATTTTTCTCTAATTATATATATATATTTTGATGAACATTAGGAAAAATTATCTAAAATAATTTTAAAAACTTTAAACCTACACCTATTATAAAACATTCGTGGATTTAAATCCAAGACATGATGCTATCATAAATGCAAGGTCAACAAAGCGAGGAAACTGTATCTTTCAACGTAATTCGATTTCAAAGTTCAAATACAATTAATTTCCAAGGGGAACATAGTACCACTGAAGGCATTTGGGAGAAAAATAATTTATGAAAAAAGAACGGAAATTATTAATTGTTAACATGTGACAACGACACTTTTACTTTTTCATCAACACAACCTTTGAAAACTTTTCTTTAATTGCTAATAAAAATATGATTGGCAATTATTTTGTGAAGTTATTATTTTCATTTAACGGAATCTTAATACGTGAAACAATAATTCATATCAATTAGGTTGTTTATGAGTCCATTGTCTATACCAATAACCATTATTTCAATTACTAATTTGCAGTAAAAACATTAAACTAATCTTGAAACGCAATAAAAAATCTAGATATGTTTCTAAGTAGCATTTGGCCTGCCTTCTTAGTTGACCATTGACCATGATTCAATGCAAATGTTAGTAAGTTAGTCACTACTCTCCTTTATCTCAATCAAATGTTTGAATCTGAAGAGTGGAGGTGCAGTGCTATCCAAAAAGGTACGTTCCAGTGTGCTCCTGAAGTGCTTCTGTAGGGTTAAATGACATGTAACTTAAATTAGCAAAATATTGATAACATAAGAAAAATGACCACAGGATTTTGACTCAATGAATAATAATATAGTGGAAAACAAGTACATTTATATTGGCAATGCAAAAAACATAGAAATGTACCACCTAGGAGAAAGTAAGAGGAGATTTGGTGAAGCTTCCATAAAGCCTCTCTCCAATTACTGTAAATTGAGAAAGGGAAAAGAAGAAGAAGAAGAAACAATTATGACAGAAATCTTGATCAAATGAACAATATGAAACAATGCTAGTAAAACTGTACCAATTAAATTGGCCTTTGACATGCTGGAGAGGGGACCACTATGGCTTGGCTTCTCATTGAGACCATATGCTGGCAGGACTGTATATCAGAGAAACCACTCCTCCCAGAACGATAAACATCTAAACCAGTGGTAGCAGATATCTCTGAAGTTCCCTTTCCCCTCTTAGCCCTTGTTACAGTACTCATATTGAACTCACCTGATCCTACTCCAGATGTACCTGACTACAAAAAAAAACCAAAGATTAGATAAACAAGTTAAATTATGGGATAGATTTAAATGATTGAATCACCAATAGAGTTTTTGGTTCTGCATACTACACTTTTAAGGGAAAATGTATTTTGAGACACAAAAGGGTAAAATTTTGTTTTGTATTTTTTTTTTTAGTAGTTGTATTTTCTTGAGTATAGATCACCTTATAGCAGTCATGAGTTACCATAGCTCACTACACTTAATCAGCCATCAGTCATTTATAAACCTCTATCCAGACATACTAATATGTCCACATGATAGATCATTTCTTACCAATACTAAACATATCGGGTTGGTTTTTCTTTTTCTTTTTCTTTTTTGTTTTGTTTTGTTGTTGGTGGGGTTGGAATAAGAATATTAAAGGACATTACATGTTTATAATCTTTAAACAAACCTACAAGAAGAAAAAGTTAAAAACCAATTAGTCCAAAGGAATATTCAAGTAATCCATACATTAGGCAGGCCTTTGATCTGAACAATGATAATCGTTATATCATCTGTACGGCCCTCATGTTCCAACCATAGTTTATAAGACTCTCCAGCAATGGCAGCACATGCATCACGGGGATCTGGATAACTTGCTGCCTACACCATAAAAAAAAAACAAAGAATTTATCAAGATAAGAAATTGAATCATAAGATAGATAGGATTTTACAACAAAAAAATAAAAATAAATCATGATCACAATAAGCTAGGTTCTACCCATCCGATTTAGTAGCAACCCTACTGTTAAAAAATATAAATGTTAACTAGAGAAGGTAATTTTTACACAAAGAATTCGTAATTATTTGTGAATATATGATAAACAGGGTGGTAAACAACTAAATACTGAAATATTTGTGTACACTAATGAAACAGATCAGAGATGATCAGCAGCAAGCAGCTGGAAAATTTAAGTTTCTCTCACTGAACCATCTTACACAGGTTGTGCAAATATTTAGGATGTAAAGTATGATTAGCAATTAGCATTTAGTCTTGTGAACTATTTACAGATCAAGCTAACATAATTATGGCAGTTTTTACATATGATACGCAAATAGGCCTTAAAAAAGAAACATCAGAATATAGATTCATCTTTAAAAGATTATAAGACTCAGCATACGTGATTAAATGAACTGGTATATCCTTCTCTCATAAAAATAATTACTTATTAAAAAGCATTATAACAAACTGTTATCATAAAAATCCAATAATTGAAGCAAAACATACAGAACAATACTGACAAATAAGATAACTACATGTAGTCAACGGCACTAGTTGATTGATAATATTAGCAAACTTGATTTAGTTATAGGACAGAATATGGCAAAGAGATATGAACATTATTCCATGCAACAAATATCACAGATAGGAAAGAAGAGAAAGTAAAAAGCTCATACCATAACACAAAATCTTTCACAGTACTGTACAGCCATAAACATAACTACAGGAAAAAGAACATAATTTGCATCCAGATTTTCAAGTACAAGTTTTCAATTGCAACTTCCAAGCCATTAACAGATACATACAATTCCATTAAGAGAAGTACATGATAGGCCTTACAAGCCTTACAGCAAGTAAAATTCAACTAGTGAAGACATTATCTGAATAAAAAGTCAAGGTTAGACATCAAAAGGGAAAGAGAAAGAACCGAGGAAGAAAAAGGCTCCATGTCATACCATATCAACAACATTTTGGCTACTTAGGAACTCAAATATGCCATCACTTGCAACAACAAAGAAAAGATGATTAGGTGTAAGCTGAACCGTTGACACCTCTGGAACAGCAATGACACCGATAGTCTCTGCCAAATCATCCCCTACACTCCTTGTAAAAGCAGTTCCCGGAACCATCCCATTCTGAACCCACAATCTCGGAGGATCATCACCCTGACTCTCTTCATTACCCCAACTCTGGATATCCGGATCCTTATTCCCTTCCACCTGATCAACACTCAACACCCTTGCCCCACAAAGTTTTACTCTTTGATATTCATCTCTCCGAAAGGGTGTCTGATCAGATGACAAGTCCTCAGCAACAATCCGATCCCCATCCTTAACAGCCAGCACAGCTCTCGAATCACCAACATTAGCAACATAAAGGGTGTTTCCAATAACTAGCACTGTAATTGCGGTAGTGCCACTCATAGAATCATCAATCTCATTCTCATGCAATTCATCATTTGTTGTCAAGAATGCTGAAGTGTAGGATTTAACAGGGTCCTCCAAAAGTGCAGGGTCATTTGACAAATTTTCTACCAACCTATCCTTAACAAAGTTTGAACACTGGCCACCAAATTCACCATGCCCATCAAAGACACCAAAGAAATGGACATTTGAGTTACCTTGAACTTGTGTCCTAATGCAGAAACTATCTTGGTTTTCTTTATCAATTGAGTCAGGGTAGTATCCCCGCTGAGTGAGAAAAGAGTATTCCAAAGTGAAGTTGTGGGAAGGGACAGGAACAAACTGCAGTGATCTCTGAGTGAGTATATGCTTTCTTTGGGAACAGTAAGGTCCAAGTTCTCTGTAGTCCCGGGAGCCACCCACTGAAGTTGAAGGGTAGCGGCTACAGCACTTGCCATGGATACAACCCATGTTTGAAAAAGAAGCTATGCTACTGAAATCAAGGCCTGGAAGCAAAGCACAAACTAAAACTCAATAGTGCAATTCTGGGTGGGAACTATAGCTTAGGAGCTTCTGAAACTCCGCATTGTGGCTCCAAGCTTTATTCTTCAACCCTTTTGGGAAACAGGCTTTGAGAAACATAAACAAACCCTAGAGGCAAAAATCAGCAGAAGAGATGAGGAGGAAATTCAGGATTTTGAGCTGGGAATTGTGACCAGAGCTTGAGAAAAACAAAAGGGTCTTTTATCAAAATTGTGCACAAGTGAACAAAGAAAGCGAATATTTGAAGAAGGCCACACAAACAAACTCAAAAGGGTGAGAAAACAAGAACCCTAGAGGTAGAGCAACCCCACCAAGAAGCAAAAGGTAGAGACATTTTGGCATTTGATCAAAGAAAAAGGGATTTCACATTCAGAACATGTGTAGTGGGGTTCTCGAAAAGGAAAGGAAGAATTGTACATTTCATTAGGGTGCAGAGATCAGGAGAGAGAGAGAGAGAGAGAGAGAGCATCAAAGTAAGACACTGGTAGCAAGCAAGAGTCCAAATGAAAATTCACAAGAATGAGTTTGTGTTTTGTTCTCCCAAGAGAATGACAGTGACCCACAACACAGACACAGTCACAGGAACAGGATTTGAGATTCTATTCTATGAGTGCATGGTTGGGTAATTTGTTTATGGAGAAAGCCCTTATTCCAAGGAAACACACCCCAATAAAAACAAACACCACCCAACTCAGTTGTTTTGTCATTTGTGTGAGAGAGAGAGAAAGCAGGTCCAATGCATTTTTGTTTTTACCGTTTTCTTGTAAAATAAATTCTGTTGACACATGCTTATTTAAGATAAGATGGGAACATATTTAAGCATTTTGAAATTTTGGTATTGAGCAGAAACGTTAGGCTCAAATTTAAACAGGGTGTTTCATTATTCATTTGAATTAAAAACGGGTTTTGAATTTGCTTTAGTGTGATTTTCATCTTGAAATTCAAACGGGCACATCTAATCCAAGAAACATATTTATCAAAATCACTAAATATCATCATATTTCAGTTCAGTTAAACTATGAGGTCTTGGCATTTTAGATGATTTTTTGTGAACGTAGTAAGCTTGTGTCTTGCAAAGGATGTGGACTTCATTTTATTTTATTTGCGTTGGCTTGTGCATCTCTTTTTTTTTTTTATATTTTAATTGATTTATTGCATCATGATTAGTTCAAATCAAGATCAATTCTGTGATTAATTACGATATTAATTAAAAAACGATACTAAAAAAGATTGAACACATGTTATAACTCCATCCAATGAGGGAGTCATCCTCCTGACCCAGCCAAGACTAAGGAGAACTTAACTAGTGTCAAATACTAAAATCCATTTTACAGAATAGTTAAAATGTGACTAATTTTCAAAAATAAATTAGCATCAAGGCACCACTTTACTCCAACGTGGCTCCGCTTGGTGAGTTCCCCTTACATGTCTTTTCTTTAAACTTTCCAATTTCATTATAGAAATCTCTTCATTTCAATTCAACAACAATTAGCTTGGAGGCAATATCATTGGAAATTTTCAATACATCAATCATATCTGTTTTATTGTTACAATATAATAATTATTTTGAAATTGCTTTTGACATAGTTAATTTGTTTAAACACTGTCTCAATTAACATTCGTACGTAGTATATGAATTCCACGTACAAATGTGTCATTATTGTTCCTCTGTTGGGTCATATTCATTGCCTCCGTTGTTTCCCTTTCTATCTATTTATTTTTTTCGGTTTTATCATTGTTTGATTTTGGTACAGTTTGTCTTCGTTTTTATTTATAAATGGGCATATCATAACAGTAATTAAAGCTTTTTTTTTTGGGTATCCGCAATTAAAGCTATTTTGTTTAAAAAAAGTAAGTACGAAGAAGAAATTTATGACAGTATTTTTTTCTTTTGTTTTTTTGGTAAGCCAGTATTTCTTTGTTGACCAATAATCTTCATTTTTTTTTTCATGATATTCTTGCAATTTTTACGTGTAAGATCAATTTCTTTGAGTACAAAGTACAAACCAATATCATTAAGCTCTCTCCTTACATGATTTTTTTATAGGTTTTATATTTTTTATATATTACATAATCTAATTTTATTTTCCTACACATAATAAAAAGACGAAAGAAAATGAAATAATGAAAGAAAAAAAAATGTAAAATTCAACCTTTTTAATATGCATGTAGAAAATTAGAATTAGATTATGTAACATGACAAACATAAAATCTTTTTTATAGTTCAAACATTTGTTATTATCTTCACGCTTCTTTTAATAACAATATGCTATTATCTTAATAAATTCGACTAATATCTTAATAATCACTTAAATACTAAAATAAAAAGTATTATATAAAAAAATCAGTATTTAATGTCTTAAAAACTTAAAACAAAATATTTATTAGTTTTTCCTCTTAAGCAAGTAATTTGGAGAATTATTATGAAAATTGAAAAATTCATTAAAGGAAAATAAAATTATTTTACAAATACACGAGAATCCCATCAGTACTTAAAGAAAACTTTTCGGTATTATGACATATAATTGAAAGTGCATTACTGACGCCTTAGTTATAACATAAATAATGTAGTTAAAATATAAGATAGTAATCATGTACATAAATAAAGTAGTACACATTTTCTGATACAAAACAAGAAAAATATCTAGCTATTAAGCAACTAAGAATTTCTCCCTATAAAATTACTGGACACCCAAACTTGAATAGAAAAGTTTAATCACTAGTTAAGAACTTAAGATCAAGCACGTATCACAATTACTCTGTTATTTCAACCAAGAAAGTTCCTTCTCTAGTGCTGGTGGAAATTTAGGGAATCAACATTAGGCTTTTAAGGGGTCAAAATGATGAAGGCCAAAACGGATTTTCCTCTTACACCAAACGACCAAAACCAACTCGGTGTCAGTGTCACCAATGAAAACAGCCAAACGGGGTTAATCTATGTATGTATAGTTATTTAAGCCCACCCAGTTAAGTTGATGCATTGATTTCATTGTAGTAGGCAATGGGGAATCATGCATAGGCCAAAGTTCCATCATTCTTCAGATAAGTTAAGCTACCCTTCATTGGAGCCATTTTGTAAGGCACTTAAGCTCCCTGATAAGAATTATTTGGTGGGCTGACTTACAAAAATCTTGTAACTCCTGTAAGTTATAATATCTTCATCACACTTAAACCAATTAACTATAATATTTAATAAAAATATGAAATATATTTATATGCTATTAACTTGACTTTAGAAAATAGTATAAATTAGTATATGTTTCAGCCTGCCACCTATCGACATCACGATGGAATTTCCAGTCATGGAGCAATTTTTACATGATCTGATAATTAGTATATTTTTTATATTGGACATGAAATGCCCTGTATTTTCCATTGAAATCTTTAAATGATAAGAAAGTGACATTTAATAAATGAAATATTTGAATGCATTAAAGTTGTCGCCTGTTTCAGTCAAAGAAAGAATAATATAAAAAATATATATATATTTTTTTATGAATATCCTTATGACATGCTTGTGGTAACTTTAAAAAATAAAAAATGAGTGTGGATATTCTAACTACAAAAAACTCTCACTATTAACTTATTACTCATTAGATATGTAGTAGGTTGGTAGTAGGAAATTTTGATAGTTAGAATATTCTTCCTCCTAAAAAATAATAGAAAGTTATATTTCATTATCATGCGAGCGATTAAAAATTGCTGGCTGTGGGGTTCGAACCCACGCGCACTTATGTGCAGAAGATCTTAAGTCTTCCCCCTTAACCTCTCGGGCAAACCAGCTACTTGTTTCCAATTACCCCATACTACTTTTATAGTTATTCCTGACCGACAAAAGGACATGAGAATAACCCTTTGAATTACTTACTAGCACTTTCAATATTATGTGCCTTCTTCATGAAGCTCCATCGGACAACTATCTTTGGGACTTCTTCGTTGGGTATGGGTATTGAAGGGTGAAGGAATTGGGTACGTTAATGCAAACTAAATAGTGGGGTTTTGATCATAATTTGTTCAATTGTTGGAAAGCTGAGAATTTGAAAACTACACTTGTCTCGTTTTAGGTAATTTGTAATTATATGTTCAAGATGAATAAGTTGCTCACCATTTTAAAATTAAGAGTATTCAGCTGATCATAATAAAATTGCTTACAGATATGGAATCTTAGTCATGAGCAAATTCCAAACCCATTGTCATCATCATAGAAAGTTATTAACCGTAAAGAATATGAAAATATTTTCACTAACCATGCATTGAGGTTGGTGGTTTTCAATCAAGTTTCCTACTCACATAGGTTACGGTTTGAAAATAATTAAAACCTAAGTCTATCATTAAAATCTGTAACAGCCTCAAACCCTGTAGCATGATATTGTCCGCTTTGCTCTCAGGCTCACGGTTTTGTTTCTTGGAACACCCCACAAAAGGCCTCACACTAGAAGAAGTATCCACACCCTTATAAGGCATGCTTCGTTCCCCTCTACAACCGATGTGGGACATTACAAAATCTAACGCTGATACTTGAGGTTTTTATCCAACTCGCTAGTTTGATTGAAGCCCTTGCAAGGGATAGGAGTTTCAACATGCTTAAGTTTGAGAAAGGGAAAATAAAGATGAAGAAGTGATTAGTGTATACCACGTGTACATATATTATCAATTTCCTTGGTAAGGATTTAAGAGCATGTTTGAATAGTAGTATAGGATAAGGTTTGATAGTATAAGGTCTGACGGTATAAGATCTGATTAAATTTTAATACTATCCAGCGTTTGACATGATATTGTATAAAATAATATATTGTATAAGATAATATCATCCAATATTTTGTAATGCACTATATAATACTAAATAGGATAAAAATAAATATTTTTGACAAAAATATCTTTTAATAATGAATTTATATAATTCTTCCAAATATATCAGATGATATTAATTTTTAGAAATCTGTTGATCAGTGTGTCCAAAATATATATTAATTTCTATAAAAATAAAAAATCTCAAATATTTTAAAATTTTATATATTGTAAAATTATTTTTTATTTTAATATATTAATATTAAGATAATATATTAATTCTCGAGAATTGCATTGGTTAACACATCAATCCTTTATCAGGCCTAATCCTACCCTCCTAGGCCTGATTAAGTTATACATCATTTTGATGTATAAAGGGATTTGTTATATAAGTTTATACTATATGATGGTCACACCAAACAATTAAAAATGTCATAACATATAGTATAAACTTATACTATCAAGCCTTATACATCACACCAAATACGTACTAAATCTTTATGAAATAGGAGAAAAATTTTAGTGCTGCCGAAGCACTATTGACTCAGTGGTCTGGATCAGTGAGAAAAAAAAATTAGTTTTTAATCCAAGTATCAATCCCTTAATGAAAGTAGCACGTAAATTTTTCTTCCCTGAAATGGGGTCTCGAGTTTTGAGAGTTATGAATAGAATCTTGTCCTCCTAAGTGGATCTATTAGGCTCGACTCGAATGAGTGAAGCTTAATTTAAGCACCCAGTCCAATAAAACTCTCAAATTAGTTGGCTGTTAATTGGGTTTCAAAATACTCAAAGAAGAGAATAGATGGGCTTTTTTTGGATGCTTTGACATCTAAGGAACGCCCATGATCCATTGTAATGGACCAGAGGAGCTTCACTTATCTCGTATATTTTCGTCCTGAAAATTGAAATGTGATATAAAAGTCGTAATACTACTTTATGTTGTTCATTTCCCATGTGTCATGAATATTAATAGAAATATAGGGTTTGGATTTTGTACTCAGATACAATTGATATATGAATTGAATCAAGATTCAACCAATAGCCTAAAATTTATACATAACGAAACTATCTGGTAAAAACTGTTGCTTGGAGAAAAAAAAAATAAAGAAGGAAAAGAACAAGTAAAGGCTATTGCCCATTTTCCTTAGAACTAGCTGTGATTATGATCTTTTTTATGATGCAAACGTGTTCTATGAATTTTGTCTAGATGTGTTATGTTGGAGAATCTTGATGGCTTGTAGAATTATATAATTTGGATCAAGGTTGTGGGGGTGGGGTGATATTTAAGTGAAATTCATAAGATCAATTTGTTTGTTTATTGCTTAACATTTATTTTACTTTATAATTTGAGTTATAAATTTGCATTTAAATATTTCAATTAAGTAACTGATAATTAACTTGATTAAAGACAAGATGAGTTTAATTTGAAAATATAACTTTGTTAAACTGCAAAGGTTAAATAATCTACAGTACGTAATACCTTTATCTTGACTTTACTCAAAATCAACATAGCGACACGAATTGTCACACTATAGATCACTGAATTATATTTATGTCTTTGGTCTTGTAGCTTTGTATTATGTCAAAGAGGTATACTAATTATGAAACTTTTTGGGAAGATCTCCTTGTTTACAAAAAGGCATCTAAGAATTTGGAACATATTATTATTGCAACTCTACCTGTCTCTAACTTTTGTCATTTATTTGCCTTCCATATGGCGTGTCACCCAAATTCAATAATTATGGCCACGAGCACTTTTTAAGTTTCTTAATGACCATAAAATGCCATCACCAACAGGCTCCGTTAGTATGTACCTGCATAATGCATGGCCATCTGTTCTAACTTCCTCAAATTACTCAGAATAATATTACGTTCGCATAACCCTCTCAATAATCAGACATAAGCTTATGAAAAAGAAAATGTGACATTACATATTAACAGTTTTCCATATAGCTCTGGTAATGTTTCATGCAACAACACCCTTACTGATCACTGTGCTCCCAAAACATAGTGCAGCAAACCAAAGAGAAATTAAGGGAAAAAAAAAATATGCACCAAAATTGTAATTTTCTTCTCTAAGATTATCCATGAACAAAATCATGAGGAATGGTTCACTTGATCGAATTTTACTGTAGGAGAGCACTCTGCTTAGACAAGGTGAGAAGCTAAATTAAAATTCTATAAACAAAGCATAAAAGACAAAGAGGTTGATAAAACATGTAAAAAAAGAGAGAAAGGGAGGATAAAATTACAAAAACATAAAAAAGAAAGAAAGTTCAATATAACCTCAAACAAGAGCACTTTTACACCCACTCCACATCCTCAAAAATCTTAGGCGTGACAAGCCTAAGTGGGGTGCATTATGATGATCATCCCAGTATCCCAACCTCCACCACTCTCTACCTCCCTTCTCGTCGAATAAATCTTTGGTACTACTGTATTAAAGATTCAGTATTACATGTCAGTTAATTTTTTTTTTCTATCAATTTTTTTTTCTCTCTTCTGATGTGTAATTTTTTCTCTCATATTAATGGAGTGCGCTGAATCTAAATACAATAATAATAATAATACCAAAGATTTATTCGACCATCTTCCTCTTTTTGATAATATACCAAAATCAAATCCCTTCCTTTGTTCCACCCACTTGTTCTAACTTTCTAAACAAGTCAACCCAACCATATCCATTCATCATCCATAATAACCAATCACATTCTGCCATGTCACCAACCCCCCCCGGACCCTAAAATTTTAAACTAACCTTCTAAACTCGTTCATTCCTATCTACTGTGCACTTTTCCGGCGAAGACCTGAAAACGTTTGAAAGACAACACTACCTGCTGCCGGAAACTGATCCATCGCACAACTCCTACATTTCAACCCCAGAGGCTCCACCGCACCCACCACCACCCTCGTCCACATTTCATTCTTATAGCTGCTGTTACATGTCGTTGTCGTAGACACCGACATAGTCCCTGGTCGGAAAATCTGAACAACCTTCCTCAACACGTGGACTATATCATCGTTCATTGACATGGACCCCACGCATTCAAAGCTTGCATAGCTGTAACCATCCTCTGGGGTTACATGAATGGTGGAGTACCATTCACCATCCATGCCATTCATGGAGTAGCCACAAGGGTCGAATGCAAAATCACATAAGAGTGCATCCTTGTTGATTTCATTGATTCCTGTGAGCTCTGTCATTTCCTTCCCGGCAGAGTCGCCGGTTTTTCCATCCCCCGGTCGCCGGAAGAACTTACGGGCTAAGATGGGGTCGAGCTCTGTCATGCAAATTTCGATGGTGTATGGTTCTGTTTCGTTATGGTCGTCATAAGGCACGTGATCAGACTCGTGACTTGTCGCAGTGAAAACGTGCCATGAATGGGAAGAAGATTTTGAGGGCATGATGGAGGCTTTTCTATAGCAGAGGTTTGGAGGGAGAGTGTTTTCCAAGTAGGTAACTTCGTCTTCGAAGCTTGTGTGAGGGAAAGGTTGTGAGTTAGGGAAGATGAAGCTACCTCTTGTGTAGCGGCAAGAGGAGAGAGTGAGGCCTAGGTGATTCTGTGCATGGTAGATCAAGGGACAAATTGATTTGAGAAGTTGGGTTGTTCCACAAGTTTTGATGATGATCTTTGTTGGGTAGATAAATAGGCTTGATTCTGATAACACATAAGCATCAAAGTAGGAGTTTCCAACAGCTGAAACCACCGTGCATTGGACAGCTTGTAGGGTTTGTTGTATGGATTCAAAGTCAAGTTTTCTAAGACCAAGTTGGAGGATGGTTGGATCATCACCAAAGAAATGGAGTTCCAACCGTTTCTCGAACCCTTCAAAACCAGAGACTGCCATTGGGAAATAACAAGAGGGGAAAAAAAATGATAAAGCTAGTACTTAGTACTTGAGGAAGCTGAGAGAGAAAGATTTGGTTTTTATGGTGTTTGAGGTAGAGGTGAGAGAAAGGATTGGGGTTGGTTTGGATTTATAAGTGTGTGTGTGAGTTAAGAGTGAGAGTGTGTAGGAAGTAGTGAGGGTTTAGAAGAGAGCATGCGGGTGATGGAACCAAGAATCATGATTGTAGGCATAATGAAGTGAATAGGATGATGATATGCAACAATTTTGTTATGTTTTTTTTCTTTTTTCTTTTTAAGTTCAATCTTCTCTTCCATCAGACAGAGCAACAGGAAGCGGAATTAATGCCCACGCTCATCAATTCCTTGTTCCTTTGTCACTGCCTATTCTATACCTCTATATACTCACCACTCTCCTTGATTACTGTTCTATCCTTTTAGCTCTCTAACTAGCCCCCAATAATACATAAGGGTAAGAACAGTATTTTTAATTTTTAATTTTGGAAAAACGAATTTAAAAAATGTCTTGTAAATATATGAAAGTCAAAGACTAATATTTAGAGTTGCAAGGAAAAAATACAGTTTAATATTTCAAAGATTATTTTCTAGAGTATGGGCTCTTTGGTATGTAATGTTAGTTTTATGTCTTTCTGCAAGGAATTTAATTTGAAATAAGATTGATGTTTAATGGATATGTGGGGCTAATTTGACTAGAATAATGGGTTGAACTGATGATGAGAGATGCCGGAAATAATTGTGTTGAAACATATCATACACTTTTTTTTTCACTCTCACAAAGAAACTTTAGATTTAGTAAGTGTTTTAAGACCATGTTCATTCAAAGGAATTTGATTTCATGAGTCAAAGTTTAGCATTCAACTTAATTATTTGAATGATAGTTTTAATAAAATAGAAACATAATCATAAACCGAAGCTAGACGTTGTATTGTTGTTCTGCATGACATCAATTATTCACTCTGTAGAGGCATTACACCATTTTAATTAGAGCTATCATACTAGGTTAAAAACAGAGGTAAGCAGAGCATTCTGTAACCAAAAATTAAAATTTCTAATAAAAGGCCCAATCACTTGGGATTTTGTTTGATATGAGCAACACTCCGATACAGATAATGGCCACTGCATAATGGAAAAGTGAGAACATCTCAGTTGATGGAGACATCTTTGTCTATTGCTAGGAGAGCAAGTGTTAATTTAACCAAAAACTTGATATGCTCAAAATATGATCCATTTTTGGGGTTAGAATATTAGTCATAATAATTTTGCACAAGATGAAAAACTACATAGGAACAAAACGAAAAAACCAAAAGAAATCAGGCGTGGCAGGTAAATAATGAGAACATCCTGAAATTGGGGGAGGCCCGTACGTGAAATGAAAAGCTCTAACATCATTTTTATTCTTCATGCAGTTCATGTAGCAAGGTGGCATTATCATTATTTTACCTATTTTATGAATTTGTTTCCTGTATTTATTAAAGCATGCATGCACACTTCTTAACCACGTCAGCATCCAAATTAAAAATGAATTTCTTTATCCTCCAAGTGATTAGACTTGAAAGCTTTGGTTATTAGCCTTAACGCTTATCATTATTATGTTAGCATGAAAGTTGATTTATTTTTGAGATTTGCATTTATCATTTCACATCATACAAGAAAGTTTCTTACACAGATAATATTTTGTGGGACCCACACTTTTTGAAGCAAAAAAAAAAATACAGCACGCAAAACGAATCTCTATAACATTACACAATCACTTTTTCTACAGCATAACTCTTATAAAACCCTTTATTTTTAGTTGAAACAATTTTAGAGACTCATGTCATAATACCATGGGAAGTATATGATTCTAAATTCTTATATATATATATATATATATATATATATATATATATATATATATATATATATACGGGTTTTACATTTCTACGGCTGCTGTACTGTGCAGCAATCAAATACTTGTCAAATATATACTTGAAAGTATTAAATGCGAGGAATCATAACCATACAACGGATGAAAACATTAAATGTGAGAAATCATAACCATACATCTGTTGTTGTTGTACGTAAAGCGACTGCAGAAATAATTTTACCTATATATATATATATAGGGAGGAGTTATATTTACAACTCAAATAGTTTACAAACTCTTACAACCATATCTTAACCGTTGATTTTCGCTAATCAACGATTTTTATTTATTGTGAATTAATAAATTTGATTTGTGAAAATCTTAACCGTTGATTGACGGAAATCAACGGTTAAGATATGTTGTAAGAAGTTGTAAACGAAAATAGGTTGTAAATATAACATTTCCCATATATATATATATATATATATATATGAAAAATATTTCTACAGCCACTTTAGATAAAGTTGTCTACAACTACTCCTTTTTAACTAAGTATGACCGGTCATACATAAAAATTGCATCTTTTCTCTCTGCCACGTCAGCCGTATGAGGAAAGAGAAAAAAAGAAGTAGATAACTTTATATAAAGTCGCTGTGGAAATACTTTTTTTCATATATATATATATATATATATATATATATATATATAAATGGTGGTCCTTTTGCATTTGCGTTTCTAACCAAACCCCAAGTCAAATATAATAACTCTCTTCTAACTTGTTCGGACATAAAGTTGATTTGGATCATAATGTTTAACTAGTTTCGTATACAAGTAACAGTAATTTTGAAGTAAAAGGGAGTAATTAGTGCTTCATGGTCTTTTAGAGGAAGTTTTGGTAGCCTGTCTATGCCGACAAATAAAACTAACTTCTCCATCATATAGATGGTCTCCTTGACTTTCAATTTACGAGTATTGTGAAGATTATATCAATAATTCACCATAATCAACATTGCAGAAGCTTCCCCTTAATTAGAATAAAGACAGGTAGAATGTGTTATTTAAAATGAAAAAGAAATATACAAAAGTCACCGAATTAATTATCTTCATGTGTAAGGATACTAACTAGAACAAAATGGTAAAAGGGGACTGAATAAACTAAATTTGAGGGGTGAAGAGGAGTAGAGAAAAGTTGGGGGGAAGGCAATGATGAAAATTTGTGAGTTCAGAATCAAAATTTTGCAGTTTTAAGAGGTAGAAATGATGCAGAATGTATGGCGTCATCAATAAATCTTATAGATGTGGCTGGCAGCCACCATTATGACCACAATATCCACCTCTTTGTGATGCATGCGCACTACCAAACTCAAACACTATCTCACAAGCCCACACTTTCGCTCTCTCACACGCAAGGCAAACCAACCAACCACACACACACACAAAAACCTTTACAATCTTGCAGATACAGTCACTTCCTTGCATATATCCTCACAAATAAAAAAGATGAAAATGGTCAACCACTAAGCTGAATCGAATCTTGTTTAAAAAGTCTCAAACAAACTCTCTACGAAACCCCCCACCACCTTTTTACATCAAAAGTTTCAAGGAAAATCTCAGCCATCTTAGAATTAAATGTTGGCGAGGACTTTGTTAATTTGAAGAGACAAAGAAAAGGATTTTTTTTTTTTTCCCCTCAAAAAAGAGTTTAAAGTTAGGAGTTGAAACCCACTTTAATCCTAAAGTTTGGCCCCACTAAAAGTAGTCACCTTTCTAAACCCCATACAAGCTTAGCTAAATGCCACATCGTCTTCATTCCCTAGCCCAAATCAACATAATAATGCAAACCCCAAACCCATGATTGGTCCCACTATGTGCCCCAAGACAACCACCTTGGACGACCCCACAGGGGTACCCACCATCTAGCATGTGTCCCAACTAGATGACACAATAGGGTCCATCTTTGTTTCAAGTGTTAATAGATTTGAGGGACATGTTGTCCCCAATGGCATGAGTTGGCAAGGAGCAAGAGGGCTTTAGCCGCCATGCTTGCATGCGCATATTTTGGCACACATGAGGCCAATTGGCACACAATTGCACAAATAGGAGATTGGTTAGTATGGGAAATTTAATTTTAAGTGTGCACTACTAATGAGCATAGAAGAAGTGCTACTGTACCATGCGCACTAAATTTGGCCTTGCAAAGGAACCCCACCACTCAGCAACTCAAAATTTGGAAAGTGTTCCCTTTTAATGTTCATCAAAAGTGGTTGGATGATTCATTCATTTTTTATTATTTTTTTATTTTTTTGAAATCTTTTGTATCTGGGCTTATTCTTCTCAAGCTTTTATTGGCTAGCTAATGGTTACAGCTTAATTGGTGTGGGTCTGATACGTCTTATTCTTTCTCCTTTACAAACAACATTATGTGCAGTTAAAGAAACAGTACTTTAATCCCGTGCACTCGGTGGTAGAAGCCATTGAATGAAATAAATGAACTGATATATACAAGCATATAACATTCCGGAGAATGTATTATCTCCATTTTTAATTCTTTAATAGTACCCCACCCCAGGTGTTAATTGATTGTTAGAGACTACCATATAGTAGTTTTGATGAAAGTGGAATCTTGATGATTGTATGAACATGCTTAAGAAAATCTTAGGATAAATCATCTGTGCAAATATAAATAATAAAATTTAAGGCTTGACACTGAACTAGATTAATTTTCTTTTATTTAAAAAAATGAACTTAACAAGAGACACAATATAATAGTCCATATTATAACAATGGTAATCTAGAACAAGGAAGGATGGTTCCCACAATAATCATTCCTCATAGGTGTGCTGAGATTTTTTGAAACAAACAAGACATGTTCTGACCTTTCAAGTGGCCAATCTCTTGGAAAATAGAAAGTCCCCCACAATACAGAGAGAGACTTAGTGTGGCCAAACAAACCAAATTATTTATAAGTTCATTTGTAATGTTTTAATGTGAGACCTCGAGCCCTGCCAATGCCAGAGCAAAATCTATCTCGAAAGATGGAGATACTAGATTGACACATACCCAACATACAACTTATCCCATCCTCCCATACACACCACATCATTCCTCTTATGCTTTAACCAAACCAAACCTTA